GAGAACACATGGGAATATTTAATAATCACCCATAGAACCCACAGCCATCCAGTCAGTTGCGGCCCGAGGAACACTGTAGGTCAGAGCAGAACTACCTCATAGGCTCCCAACGCTATTATCTTTCAGCAGCACACTGCCACATCTTTCTCCCCCAGGGCAGCCGGTGGGTTCAAACCCCTGACCTTTCAGTTAGATGAGTTCTTAACCACTGTGCCACCAGGGATCCATTAGTAATAGTGGTTCTAGTCTGTGAGATGCAACATTCATGCAAGGCGAGATGGCGGACGATGCTGTCCGGGGTAACAAAGAAAGTGGTGCAGCCATGTAAGGAACACATCTGTATGAGACAGCTTTTCAATTTTCACAGTCTTGACTTTTCTGAGGAAACGTGATGGTGCGGTGGATTATGCACAAGGTCAGCAGTTCAAACCCACCAGGAGCTCTCCAGGAGAGGAAGCTGTCTGTTAGCTCCAGCACAGAAACCAGCAGGCGGCTCTACTCTGGCCTATAGGGTGGTTATCAACTAATGGCCTTGGATGTATTTTACTTTTCCAGCCTCCTTGTACTCCACCCACTATTGAATGGGCTCCAGGAGAGAGTACTGAGATGTATAGGCCGTTAACCCAGTGACTCTCCCCATGACCTAAGAAAAGAAACTGGAAGGAGGGGTTTAAGAAGGGAAGAGGCTCAGATTCTAATTTTGTTTCCCCTTCGATGTATGCATTTTGCATGCAAATTCTGTTTGAACTTCATCAGCACTCCTTTGTGGGGGACCGTGTGAGAGAAGGGGGATAAGCGAATGGGGCCGGTGTCTATGGCAACCCCAGTCAGGGAGCCACAGAAGCACAGCGTGTCAGTCCACGTGTGTCAGTCCACGCCAGCGGATGGCGAGAGGGGAGCGAGATGTGTGCCTGGAGAAAGGTGGCCATCAGCTCCAGTTTGCCTGCTGCCAATAAGGAGTCTCTTCCTTTCAATGGAGGTCCAAAGCTCTTCGTTTGTGTCTTTCCTCAGTGTACACGCACTCACCAAGGAAGCATCAGGCAGCAGAGAGGAGCCTTTCCATTCGCCATTGTTCACCCCTCCCTGTCAGCTGCATGTTGTGAATGCCGTAGGAAGACTGAGTGGTTGACATGAATGATTCCTATCCTGATTTACTATTCAGCCCTGCAAATGTCAGTCCCCATGTCTCTCTCTCTACACCTACCTTTGGTGGTTACAGGTAAGATAAAGGTACAGGCAGGAAGGAACATCTCCAATGAACAAACAATTCTAATCTTGCACAAGCTTTTCTGGAGAATATAAAAAGAGGAGCGACTTTCAAGTCATTTTCTAAACTTAACATCGTCTTGATATCAAAGCAAGATAAAAGAATACCAAAAGAGAAGATTCCAGGCCAATTACATTCATGCACACCAAAACTAGAATTCTAAACAAAGTATTGGTAAGCTCAATTATCTATCAGTACATCATGGCCAAGGCAAGTTTATCCAACACTGGTTTAACAGAAGAAAAACATGCGAGTGCACTTACTGGCATTTTAGGAGGAAGATTCACACAGTCAACCCAACAAATTCAGGAAAAGTGTTTGGTCACATTCAACATGCACAACAAAAAGTCTTCGTCACCTCGGGGATGATGTGGACTTCGTTAACCTGCAAAGGGAGAACTACAAAATGCCGTATAGCAAACACCTTTGACATTCGCCTCGTGAGCGTTCACAAGATGCCTCTGCCCACTTTTCCCAGGCCCCTTTCACACCCTCCCTGAGCTCCCATCACAGGGAAAGACATACACGGAGGAATGAAAGTGGTTGACGTTGGGAGAGGAAAAAGCCACACCGGGCTTGTTTTGACAATGAAATCTCCAAATCCACAAATCACGGAGCTAATAGGCCATAAGGTATGCTACTGTGTGTGTGTGTGTGGCTGAGCCAAGTCCAAGTCATGGAGCCTCCCTGTGACAGAGTCCACCTGCCCAGAGGGTTCCCTCAGCTGTGATCTTTGCAGAAGCTCCGTCTTCCTCCCTCGGAGCTGCTGGGTGGCTCCAATAACCAACTCCTCATTAGCAGCTGAGCATTCAACCATTCTGCCACCTTTTTCAAGCTAGAGTGTAAGAGGAACACACAAAACAATCAACTTTAGTATTACTGGGTTAGTCCGAGTAGACCAGAGAAACAAATCCAGGGAGACTCATGTGTATTAGTAGAAAGAGCTTTATATAAAAGATCAAGTGTATATTAAGAAAACATCCCAGTCCAGTCCAGATCAAGTCTATAAGTCCGATATCAGCCCACATGTCCGATACCAATCTATAAAGTCCTCTTCAGACTAGTGAAACACATGCAATAACGCCAAGTGCAGGAGGATCACAGGCCAGTGGGTGGGAAGTCTTGTGGATCCAGTGGCGTTGTAAGCATCTCAGTGCTGGCAGGGGTCTCCACATGGCTGCTCCAGCTCAGGGTACTAGCGTCGCTCCATGTGTCTTGTCAGCTACAATGTCTCCCAGGGAGTGAGCCTGTGTCCCGCCTCAAACGAGCCATTTATCTCCTTAGCATCTCCAAATGAGGTCATCCATCTGGGCCTGATTGACAGGCTAAACTCCACTCCTTCACTCTTCATTCTCTCAAATTGACAACAGATTATGTAACTACAATTACTTTCAACAACTATTTACAAAAGCAAATGCAGCTCGAGAGATCATAGTTGTAAAGCCAACACAATTCTAAGGTACGTAGAAATAAATCTATCAACAGGCGTCTAAGACTTCTATTTAGAAAATTCTCTGAAAGCACTTTTTAAAGACTTAACATAAGTGAAGATATATGCCCTGTGTCAATAGGAAAACTACATTATAAAGATTTTAGTTCTTCCACCACTGATATAGAAACTGCAACACAATCCTCAAAACAACACGATAGGAAATTTCATATGGAAAAGCTATTCCAAGATGAAAATCAAAGTGGATAGACTGGAAATCCAGATCTATTTAAAAGGTCTAGCCAATCAGACGAGGTATTGGCACAGAGATAAGCAGTAGTCATGGGAAAAGCCCCCAAACAGGCCCCCACACAGATGGAACGTGTGATAGAAATGGCATTGCAGACCAGTGAGAGGATGCCCAAATCATCCCCCAGGCAGAATCAATCACAGGTGAATTAAAGATCTTTTAATGTTTAAAGTTTAGTGTAGAGAAATATGACCTAGACAAAGCATGCACAAAGCAGAAGAAAATGCACCTTGTAATGTGTTAACATTCAGAACATGTGTTCTAAATGCAAAGAAAGTGAAGATAAGTCACCAACTGGGTGCAGACAGCACAGGATCTGGGTTCAGAACGAACTAAGACTGATGTCGAGAAGGAAAAGACAGATCCACTATCAAGAGAGAACACCAACACAGTAAAAAGAGGGCAAGATATAAGTGGTTTCATAGAGGATACACAAATAACAAACACATGCAAAGATGAGTCACACAATTAATACATAGGGAAGTACCTATTAAAACCAATGAGACACCATTATAGTCTCCAGATTGGGTAAAAAATAATACATCTGAAATACCAAATGTTGGTGAGAACTTGCAGCAACAGGAATACTTATGCAATGCTGCTGAAAGTGTAACTGGAAACACTTCTTTGAAAAGTGGTCCTACAGACAACCGAAAAGTGGGTGAAGGGAGACGTCGGACAGGGCAAGATATGACAAAATACCAATTTATAAACTATCAAGGGCTCATGCGGGAGGGGGGAGCGGGGGGAGGGAGGGGAAAAATGAGGACCTAATGTCGGGGGTTTAAGTGGAGAGAAAATGCTTTGAGAATGATGTACAAATGCGCTTTACACAATTGATGTGTGTATGGATTGCGATAACAGTTGTATAAGCCCCTAATAAAATGTTTTTAAAAAAGTGGTCCTAGTTGGTGAAATTGAGGACACACGGACACACACACACACACACACACACACACGGTGGTGGGATTCAGCCTGAATGCACCAATTCCACAGAACCGTACCTAATTCTTTGTTGAGTTTGGCAAAGTGTAACTGCAATGGCACTTGTAAGCAGCGTTCTGAGGTGGGTGACTGTCCAGATGCCCAATAGAGAAATCACAAATTTACATTTCTTGCTCTTTCCAAAAGTTCACCTGCTCAACAGCATTTTGTATGGCACCCATAGTCATGTTCATTCTGTCTACAGGTATAAAAAATTAGATGAAACTATGTTGGTAATATGTATTTATTCAGTTCATAAAACTCATTATACTTTTGATGATATACATTTTTATTCCCGTCACTTCAGTAAACATGTAACATAAAAAGTGCCATACAACCAAACCACCAGAGGTGACACGCTGTCGTTTCAGCTTTGTGTTACTCTCCAACTCCCAGAGCATGAGTGAATTATGCAATTCCTGAAAGTGTTCAAAGAGCTATAAATATTGTCAGAACTGCTCCAGGTTCAGCAGAAGCGGAAAGGGGTTTTACAAAGATGAACTCAATATGTTGAGAAGTCGCCTATTTCTAATACATCAAACACAAAGACTATTGTCTAAGTGGCCTATCTCTCACGGAATGAGATCCTACTCCTACAGTACGAAGATGGTTAAAAACCCCACAACCTGATATTCAGACAACAGCCAAGAACGTTGCAAATGAAGTTGCTAATCAAGAAGCAATATGGAGATATTTTATTGGCTTGTCAGGTATTATTTAATATTTTAAAACTCAGAACATAACCTATTTTTATATCTTTTATTGCTGTTAAGTATTAACTGTATGAAATAATAAACTACCCTTCAGTATACCTTTTTCATACTTAAAATGATCCACTAGGGCAGTAAACCAGTTGCTTATCTGATTCTGAATCCCACCCTGTGTATCTGCCCTGTGATTGGAATCCTGCTGGCCCTGTCAAGTAAGTGTTCAGGTTCGAACCACAAGGTGGGCAGTTTGAACTCACTAGCTGCTCCGTGAGGAAAAAAATGAGGCACTATAACCTCATAAATATTTAGTCTGAGAAAGCCTCAGATGCAGTCACTGTGAGTTGCAATCGACTCCATGGCAGTGGGTTTGTTTTAAAATCGGGTACTGTGCTAGGAAACAAGTATCTTTCTTAGAGCAGCATTATTTGTCAGAGAAATAGGGACCAAAAAAAGTGTGAGTAATCAATATTCCAATAACAGGTGAATGGATTTTATAAAAAATCATTGTATTGGAGGCTCGTACAACTCTATCACAGTGGGCAAGTGGACTTTTAATTCCGCTTTGTGCATAGTTACGGCCTATAACACACCGCGAGGAACCTGTGTACAGTGACTCAACTCAGCTGATGACCAAAAGGCCGGCTGCTTCACCGTGAAGATGTGGCAGTGGCTTCCTTAAAGAGGACCACCTTGGAAACGCATGGGGCTGTCCTATAGGGCCACCCTGGGAGAAAGAGGTGGCAGCCTGCTTCCTTAGAGGACCACCTTGGAAACATGATGGAGCAGTTCTGGGTTTTCCCATCAGGCCATTATGTGTGGGAATCAACTTGGTGGCAGTGGGCTTGGCTTTGGATGTGGCAATGAAAGCACACAGCTTTGGGTAAATGAATAAACCTTTGAGACATAGTAACACAGAAGCATGCCCCAGAGACTGCTAGAACATGAAGATGCTGACCGTGATACTTGGGTGTCAAGAGCTCCAAGCCTGAACGTTCCACTACTGGGACAGTAAAGTTTGGAAAACAACTCTTTTATGGTCGAATTCTAAATTTGACTTGACAAAACCTGTGGGTCACGAGTTGCATCTGCCCACATCAGGCTTGTGTTAGTGCCTTTATGTGCTGTTTGTGTAAAACGTCCTTACCGCCGCTCCAAAGTTGGAGGCCAGCAGTAAAGCCAAGAGGGAAACAGAGCTGCGATAGTTACAGAAATCACTGAGAACTGGAATCCAGAGCACCTGCCTGATTTGGGGACTCAATACAACATTGCTAAGTCAACAGTATCAACTTTTGGGCGGGTGGGGGGCGGGGAGGGGTGATTAAAGCCACTAATGTAGCCAAATATGTGAAATCATTAACCAGGAAACAAAAACCCAGATAAAGAAGCTGAAAAGTCACTGTGCATTGGGATACATCAGAAGTAACTTGATGGCGACCATGTATCAGACAGCGATCATTTGAGAAGGCTACAAGTTCTTAGTGGATTTGTAAGTGTAGTTTGGGGGCCTCAGAACCAATTACTTGTTTTCCATTATTTCTTATGGGGAAAAATATATTTAGTTCTCAAACTTTTCAGTGTTCAAAACACTCCTTTGGAACAAATTGAGCTGGACAACTGAGCTATCACTGTATAAGAATTCAAGAACGAAACTAGGCATTTTTGATAGGTTTATTGTGCGGACCTGGACAACAGGAACATGTGGGATTAACCAGGTCAGTCTGACTGGAGGGCAGAGAGAAATGGCTCTGCAAGCCCATGCTGCTGCTAGTTGTCGGCCTCAAGCTGTGGGCTACACCAACGGGGGCAGGCCAAGCAACTTGAGGATCCTGCCCTCCCTAAGAGCTTGAGGCTCCGTTGAGACCTGCTTCTCCATGCGGCTGGTGCATACATCACTGAGCTTGAGGCTGGGGGACCCTGTCACCTAGCATTGCTTGCATCAGATATCCCATCAGGGTCTGCTTTGCTAAGCTCTCGAGCCACTGACTGTTGCTGACCCACCCTGCTGCTTGCTGCCCGTGGGCAGACTCTGCTTGCCTTGCCTGAGGGCTTCTGGTGCAAGGAGATATGACTCATGTTGAAAACTCATTCTCCCAATCCTCAAAAACCTGTTCTCTGAGGTCCACTGAAGTGTGCCTTTGTCCTAAATTCCAGTCTATTCCCCTGGCACCCAAAGCTTCGGCTGTTTCCTGTGGTGTAGAAGCGAGCAGCAGCTAAAGCCTGCACACATCCCATTGCAAGCCCAGGGCTTCTCTGGAACGAGCACCGTATGTTCGATGAGTCTGTGCTTAGAACTACAGCTTCCCCACACGCTTTGCACAGCGACTTCTCCTGCGTGTGTCCTCTGGTGGGAATAAAGTTCCACTGGTGACTGAAGCCTTGCTCCCACTCCAATACCAAAGTGGTGTTTCCTATGTTCCAACAAGCCTCACCCACACTCTGTACACCTGGGCGTCCTAGTCTCCCCAGTGTACCCTTGGATGTTTAAGGGCAGTTGAAATGGAGCTAAAGCCTCGCCCAGTCCTGGTTCATGTGGTTTCCCACCTGAGTGGATCCTTGGGGTGTTTGGTGAAATGCCACTTTTGGCCACAGCCTCACCCACACTCTCGCCCATGCTGCCTATCTCCTGAGGTGTGTCCTCTGGTGTGAGACTCATGTGGCTTCCTCAAGTGTATCAACTGATGTGCAATGGGCATTGCCTTGCCCACATTCTCAGCACTTCCAAGGTTTCTCACCTGAATGTGTCCTTTGGTGTTTGCCAAGAGCTGACTTCGGGTTAAAGGCTCGCCCAAACTCCTTGCACACAGGTGCCTTCTCCCCTGAGTGTGTGCTTTGGTGTGTGATGAGAGTTGACTTCCAGCTAAAAGCTGGCCCACAATCCTCACACACACATGGCTTCTCCCCTGAGTGTGCCCTCTGGTGTGTGATGAGATTTGCATTGCAGGAAAACCGTGGCCCACATTCTTTGCACATGTAAGGTTTTTCCCGAGTGTGCCCTCTAGTGTGTCATAAGCACTGACCTGCCTCGAAAGCTTCTCCCACACTGCTTACGTACGGTTTCTCGCCAGTGTGTGTCCTGTGGTGTCTGAGGAGGTGTGACTTCCGGCTGAAGCCTCGCCCGCACTCCAGGCAGACATGGGGCTTCTCCCCTGAGTGCATCCTCTGGTGTTGGTTGAGACCTGACTTCCAGGTAAAGGCTCGCCCACAATCCTTACACACATGGGGCTTCTCCCCTGAGTGTATCCTCTGGTGTGCGATGAGATTGGACTTGTCACTGAAGCCTCGCCCGCAGTCCTTACAAGCATAAGGTTTCTCCCCCGTGTGGGTCCTCTGGTGCGTGCTCAGAGTTGACTTGTCGCTAAAGGCTCGCCCACACTCCTCACACACATGTGGTTTCTCCCCTGAGTGTATCCGCTGGTGTTTTCTGAGATGTGACAGTTGGCTAAAGGCTCGCCCACACTCCTTGCACACATGTGGCTTCTCCCCCGAATGTGTTCTCTGGTGTATAATGAGCGTTAATTTTAGCCTAAAGGCTCGCCCACACTCACTGCACACATAAGGCTTCTCCACTGAGTGTAAGCTTTGGTGTTTGCTGAGATCTGACCTCCAGCTAAAGGCTTGCCCACACTCCTTGCACACATGCGGCTTCTCCCCTGTATGTGTTCTCTGGTGTATAATGAGCGTTAATTTTAGTCTAAAGGCTCGCCCACACTCATTGCACACATGTGGCTTCTCCCCTGAATGTGTCCTCTCGTGTGTGACGAGAGCTGACTTGAGGCTGTAGCCTGGCTCATACTTGTTACACACATCAGGTTTCTCACTGGAGTGTGTCCTCTGTTGACAAAGGAAATAGGATTTCTGGGTAAGGCCTTGGCAACACTCACTGTACAAAGGTGGTTTCTCCCAGGAAAGGGCCGCCTGGTCTGTGAAGTCTGAGTGGGCCTCCATTCCCACCCCTGGGTTGCCTTCTCCGGGGCTCGCTGACCCTCCCCAGGCTGGGCTGGAGAAGGCCCTTGAGGTCGCTCTCTCCCCTGGGCTCCCACACAAGGGTCTGGAGACTTCTCTCTCCTGCCCTTCCGAGTTTTCACTCCTGCAGTTCTGGTCAGAATCCGGATGCTCAGGCTGCCCTGGGCTGGCATCCCCTGGATGGAAGTGATTCTCCGCACACAAGTCGGGGAAGAGCTGAAGCACGTGCTGCCGGAGGAACTGCTGACAGGGGAAATCCAGGAGGCAGGAGGAACAGGAGAAGATTTCCGAGTCTGGGTCTACAGGAGGGGGAGAATTTCCTATTAGAGCAGCGATGTGTGGAGCACTTAGACAGTGCTGCCTTCTCTTACGACAGACAGCATCTCACTGCTGGAGTGCCCGGTAAACATTCACACACACACGCGCACACAGTTACACACTCGACTGCTAACGGAAAGGGTGATGGTTCGGAAGAGAGGCCGAGTGGTTTCTTAACAGTCTGTATCTAGAGGGCCACAGGCTTCAAGGCCCTCAGGTGTGGTGCTAACCCACTGTGGCGACCACGTGTTCACCGAGACTTGGATACTCTCGGTGGCAACTAACAACAATCCTGCTCGCACGTTTGTCATTCACAATAGAGCCAACTCACTGTGTCTCCTACCAACCAGCCACTCGGGTGCCATTTTCACCAGTTCCCCTTCTTACGTGATCCAGAAGGACTCTAGTGGGGCAGTGATTAAAGCCCTGGGCTGCAATCCAAATAGACAACGGCCCACCCACCAGGATCTGCAGTGAAATGGTGCCGCAGGCTGCTCTGTCGGAATTCACAGTCTGGGAGGCCCTCCTGGTCAGATGGACCATGTTCTGTTCACAGGGCTGCTGAGCTGGGATCAACTCGACGACAGTGGGCTTAGTTACTGTCATCCAGAGTCCACGCTGGCAACCTCTGCACCCTGTCGGCAGATTAGCATTTCTCAAGGAAGGAGCAGACAGTGCGCGTGCTCCGTCCACAGCTCCCCCTGCAGCTGGCCTTCTCCTTCTCCAGAACCCTCTCGGTCGCAGGGACGCACAGCGACACATCTGCCCCTACCATTAGCTAGGACTCGGACATGACAGTTCCTGGGATGACTGCTCTTACTATACAGAGGGACTGATAGAATATACAAGCAGACGTGCAGCACATGCACCTGCCCACCTGAGTGAGCGACAGTGAGGATCAGCCCATGCTGGTGAACGTGACATGGCGCCCCGTCTTTCCTCCAGCCTCCGACTCTTTCAGAATTCGGAGAGTAGCCAGCCTCCCCAAGGCACACCCTCCTTCTCCTCCAAGGGTGATAATTCACTGCTGTGTCTGCAGATATCTCACAGACCATCCTGAGAGGTGTGGGGTTGATTCACGGACGGACTACAGCCGAGGTCCAGGAGACGCATCGGCAGTCTCCCTGCTTCAGGGCAGCAGCTCTCAGCTCCTCCCCACGATGCAGGTGTCCTGTTGCCCCCGGAGGAAAACCCCGCTTGGCCCTGCCGAACGTCCCCACCAACTTACACGTGGCCCATCCCAAGGTCTCTCACTGTCTCTAGTGTTAAGTCTCTTTCGGGAATTCCTTGTCCCTTTGTGCTTTCCTTCCACTGCTTCCTCTCTGGAGAAACAACCCTCTGTGGGGCTGTCGCACAATTCTGTAACTACAGCACCACCAGGGCTCCTTGCTCCACAGGTACAATCCCCCAGTACCACCAATCTCCTCTGCAAACACTCCATTTGCTTGGGAGCCTGGGGACCCTGCCCTAACAGAGTTTGTTAGTTAATCCCTGCAGGCGGCAGCACTTTATGGTTTATGACCAAACAGAGAAGATCAAAACCATGCTGCTTAACAGCTTAAACTTGAAATGAAACAATCATAAGTAGATATGTATGCATACATGCATAGGATGGCACAAGCGCAAACATGTTCGTGTGTGTTGCATATGTATTCATGTATGTAACAAAGCACATGAGCACAATTGTGGAGACTTCCTAGACATCCAAATAACTCACTGGATTGGCTGGCCTAATTAAAGGGTTTAAAGTTGTCCCCATGGTAAGAGGACAACTGGCATAGCATGCACCATAAAGATGATGTTCTGAACCGGGTTCGGTGAGCAGCACCAGGGCTCGTTCTTTGGCACACAGTAGGTGGCCAGTAAATCTGTGCTGAGTTGAAAAAGGGAGAAGAGTGGGTCCTCACCCACGGAGAGCAGACTCCTGTAGATCTCCAGCATCACGTCCCTGTACAGGGTCTTCTGCTCCGCGCTCAGAGTCTTCCACTCGGCCTCCGAGAAGAGCACCGTGACATCCTCGATTGTGAGTGGCTCCTAGGAGGAGGAGGAGGAGGAGGTCAGTGTACCCCCGACTCTCACAACCAGAGTCACAGGGCCCTGCAGGATCTGCATGAGGAACTTCGTCTAGTTCTTCCAAAGCCAGGTCTCCACACCTGATGGACATGCCTGTACCCCAGATTTGAGACGAAACCTGTGGGGAGCACAGTGATCTAGAACCACGGCACAGGCAGGAACTCCTATGGGAGCAGTGGGCTGCCCTCAGCTGTCCCGAGCGCAAAAGAACTTCTTCCGGATCAGGCAACCGGATGACACCCATCTTCTAGGAACAGCAAGGGGACAGTGACCCATCAGCACATCACTGGAGGTTTTCACTGGGAGAGTTCACCCCGAAGAGTCTGCATCCGAGGGAGCTCCTCTAATTCTTTCTAGAGCACACAGTTCCTTTCACGAGGCCTCTGGTTGTACTGCACACCTGGGTCTGTGAGGAGGAGAGAGGGATGCTGAGCAGAGGCGCTGCTGCGGATCACACCCTGCAGACAAGGAGGTGCCTTGGGAGGAATGGCTGGGCTCAGAACAGGGCAAGGGCAATGGAAGGCAGGAGCATGGGTGGCTGGTGCCTGGTGGAAATTGTCCTTGAGCTGGGCTCAGAGTTGGAAATTCCTTCTCCATAAGGGGGTGGGGGTGTCAGAGGTAGCCTCCATGTGTCTTTCCCAGAGCCCAGGCACGAACACCAAGTTTGAGGCTGAAATCCTGAAAGGTAAATGGACCCTCTAAATTTGTAGCCAGCAGGCAAGGGAGGGTGTTGTGTGGACTCCCAAATTTGAACCGAGAATTTGTCCATGTGGCAATCTGAAAGTCAGTACCTTCGAACTGATTAGATCTGACCAAATTCGCGTTCTATGTGGATAGGGTCAGAGAAAGGAGAAAATGAGGCTCTCTACTCTTGCGACGACTGACAGAACTGGAACCCCCGCTTCTTCCCTGTTCCATAGGATGGCTGGGGGAGGGAACAACTCGATGACAGTGAGTGTTAGCTATTACAGCGGGGGCCAGGGGGGAACAGGAAAGCAGAAGTGTGGAATTCTGAGTGACACAGTATCATACCCTGGGGCTAAGACTGCCCATTACAGATGCCTGCTGATGCTACAGGATGGTAGCTAAAAAAGTTCTATGGTTATGAAACTATTTCTACAGTTTGAAAAGATCAGTAACTAAAAAGCAAAAAGAAACCCAGTATATGGGACATAGTGTATTATGTCCACAGATGCATAGCATTTATTTTGAAGGCGTAGTGGGTTACTAACATAAGGTCAGTAGTTCGAAACCACTAGCCACTATGGGAGAGAAAGATGAGGCTCTCGATCCTATTAAAGAGTTACATCTTGGGTAGAGGAGTCAAGATGGCGCCCAGAATTGGGAGTGTGCATACCCACCCATCGGGGTGAACCAAACCAGGAGGGCAACGTAACCACGTGGAGGCATGAAAAGATTGGGCTACAGGGCCGGCCCCAACCAGAACCAATCTGACCCCTGCTCTAGAAGTCTGTGCGACAGAGAACAACACTAAACCTTCAGGAGGGGGAAAGGAGCCGACCTACCACACCCACACGGAAGCATACCAAGAAGGAAAAAGAGAAAGGGCCGTTGGCCTAGACCCCCCACTGGCACACCAAGCCGGAGGGTGATGTCCCTGCACGGAGCTGCTCAGGCACAGAGAGGACTGCAGGGCCGCCAACAACTCAAGACATGTTGTCCCCTAACGGGAGCATACGGAGACAGGGGACAGTAATGGGGACACACAGCGGGGAGACAATGTGGCCTGAATCCCCCGCAGCAGGACAAACCAAGGAAGCATAACAGAGCAGCAGTCAGAGCACAGACAATCCACAAAGCCCCTAAAGAGCCCCCAAAACAGAGTTCAGGCTAGGAGGGGCAGCCCCCGGAACCCCTCCAGGACCAGGGCTGAGAGATTCATAAGGCCAGCGAACAGACCTAGAACTATCCATGGTTTGTTTTTTTCTCTCCTTTTCTTTTTTTCAACCTTTTGTTTTCTTTGGACTAGGGCATTGCTGGTTTGCCTACTTACATAAGACAGACATGGGAAGCAAGCCTGGGGAGAAAGCAATGGGGCCAACTGCCTTGGAGGGTCTTGGGAGGAGAAAGTAAGGGGGCGGGGGGCGGGGAAGGGTGTGCTGAGCAAACAACACTGTAGACGGGAACAACTAGGGAATTAAAACCAACATCTAGGAGGCTGTAGAGATGCTGTGGGCATTACAGCACCAGCAATCTAGCTGGGAGGAAATGCTAAGATGGGGAACGTGATGGTGGGGCAGCAGGAGGCAAAAAAAAAAAAAAGAGGAAAGCTCTAGGAAGCAAAGCTATAGAGATATTAACAGAGGTGTGTACGTATGTAAATATATTAAACCATAAAAACAGAGATATTGGCCTATGTACATGTATTTACAATATATTTACACTGAGGCTGCAGATGGGCCTTGGGCCTCAGCTCATACCCTCCCTCAATACAAGAACACTGTGTTGTAACAAAATGGCACACCCACCCCTGAAAAATGGGTGCATAAGATGTGGTGAAGACAGCGGATGGTGCCCGGCTATTTAACAGATAAAGTGTCTGGGGTCTTAAAGGCTTGAAGCTAAACAAGTGGCCATCCAACAGTGAAGCAACAAGCCCACATGGAAACAGCATGCCAACCGGTGCAACCATGAGAACCGGGCAACGGGCATCAGAAGATTCATCACAAACAACAAACAAAAACATGTGGTGAGAATGAGGGGAGTCAAAGTGGAGACCCAAAGCCCATCTTTAGACAATGGAACATGGCCCCACAAAGGGGTTGCAGGGAAAGGGTGAGTCAACCGGGGTACAGGAGAGCACCGATGGCTTACAATATACCTCTGGTTCCTTGAGGCTTCCTCACCCCCACTATCATGACCCCAGTGCTGCTTCCCACTCTGGACTACACTGGAACATGTACAGGGGTACAGGCAAGAGACAAAGCTCACGACACACAGACCCAGAACAGGAATGGGAACAGTGAAACCAAACAGGTATGGGGAAGGGAGGAGGGGAAAGAGATGCCGATGGCAGTGAAGGGCACACACCACACACCCTCCAGGAGGAAGAACAGAAACCAGAGGGGAAGGGAGACAGAGGTCAATGTGAGATATAAAAATAATAGTAATCTACAATCTACCAAGGAGCCACGAAGGTAGGGGGTGGGGAGGGAAAAAAAGGAGCTGATCCCAAAAGCTCAATAGAAAGTAAAGAATGATGGCAATATATGTACAAATATGTCTGATACAATTGAACAAGAGTTGTGAGAGCGCCCAATAAAATGATCTTTTAAAAAAACCCACTAGTGTTAGGATTCATCTACTTATGAGAAATAAAGGATGGAACAAAGTCTGGAGACATTAAAAAAATTCTTTTAATCAATCATTTAATTGGGAGTTTTCACAAATATTGTAACAATCCATAAATCAATCATATCAAGCGAACTTGTACAGATGATGCCATCATTTTTTTTTACTTAAAAAATATTTTACTGGGGGCTCGTACAGCTCTTATCACAATCCATACATCCATCGTATCAAGCACACTTGTGCATTTGTTGCTGATGTAAGATATGAAAATAATAATTTACAACTTATCAAGGGTTCATGGGGGAGGGACGGAAAGGAAGCAAGGAGCTGATACCAAGGGCTCAAGTAGAAAGAAAGTTTCTGTTTTTATGTCTATGTAACAGATACGTAAAATTACAAAACTGGATTGGAAAAAAAAATTACCTCAAGTAAATGTGGGTCATTGAGAAAATCGATGTCGTCAGTGCAATGGCCTGTGTGCCGGGGGGATGGACGGGGTTGTCCTTTTTTGTGTATATGAGTTTTTGCTTTCCTGCTTGTAGCTTTTTTTTTTAATTCTCTTTGTTTGTCTGCCCATTGGTCCCTTGCTGGTGCTGATGTAGGAGGTCCTATGGGGGTTCGATTTTGTCGTAAGCCAACCCCCAAAGCACACCTCATTCTTGCACATTCCGTGGATAAGCAGATGGATTCTGGCCTACTTCACCCCAGCCTAGGTCTGAGAACAGTTCACCCTGATCCACGGCTCTGCTCTGCACTGCCTTCATGAAATGATCACTGAAGAGAAGGGTGCTGCGGCAAGTGGGGTGAAGACAACAGAGCTGCAATAGCGTCCGTCCGGGGTATGAAAGGCTTGCACGCAAACAAGCAGCCATCTGTGCGAGGAGCCGACTGAGCTCACATGGAAGCAGCATACCGCTGGTCCCGATCAAGGAGGGCAGCAACAAACCCAATGCACGGGGTGGAGGTGGGGGGAGTACCAGCCACACTTGCGAACACCCGATTCGGGGAAGGCTTTGCAGGGCAGTGGGAGCCCACCCCCATCTGCAGAGTATCTGGTCCCTTCAAATTTCTGGCAGATCCCCTCGAGCCACAGGCAAGGGTCTGGAAAAGCCTTTTTATCAAACACAGATCACTGTAACCCCGAATATGCTGGAGCAACCTTGATAGTTGGTCAGCTCACCTCCCTCTAGACCCAACCTGAATTTGTTCTAGGTGCAAGGATCTCTTGCTTGTTCCATGTCAAAAATTCCTTCCCTGGCTTTTAAAATATTGGTGGAGGTCTTTTCTTTCTTGCTCACTCATTGTTGGTATTTTATCTTCATATTACTGTAGTTTTATCCTTACCACTTAATTTTGTTTTTGTTACTGTTTCTGTTGGGTTTATCAGTTTGCGAAGCACAGAGGAGCGGATGCATAGAGACAATAGCTGATGCAAGTGTTCCTAGGGGATGTAGGGGAGGGCTGGGCAGGGGAGGATTGGGAGGGGTAGGAGATTCCTGGAGGGTAGAAGCACTAGAACTGAAGGTGATCACACAACTGAATTTAAAGGTGATGTAATCATGGGGGAAGAGAAATGTACTGTGGTGGTGACTGTACAATTCTTCTTGACATTTAATTATATGACATGTGTATTATGCCCCAATAAAAATGCAAAAAGAAAAAGAAGACATACAGTCTCAGAAACCTCTAGGGGAAGTTCTACCCTGTCCTATAAGAGCCCTATGAATAGCAATCAACTCAATGACAGTGATGTGGGTTATTTGGTAGAGTAATTTAGTTAGCAGTACATTAAAAAATATAAATAATCTGTTTTTCAAAAAGTATTTCTTCTTAGATTCCCTGGATTCCTCATCCTGGCTCTGCTTCCCAACAACAAAAATAAAATGCAAAACTGACTTCTGAGCGATGGGTAAAGATGACAGCGAGGCCAGAGGAACAAGAGGACAGCAGGAAGAAGCCATATGTGTATCTTATGGAAATACATCAATATATGTGCATTTGTTTATATTACATAAATAGAGCAGATACAATAAGGAAGCAGATGGGCCTTGGGCCTCTCCTTCAATCTTACCTCAGTACGTGAGCAGTTTGTTCTAATACTGCAGCGCTGTATGACACTCACCATCCCGCCACGGTGCTGAGGACAAAATGAGCGCATAAGCATGTGGTGAAGAAAGCTGATGTGCCCGGCTACTAAACGATATAGAGTCTGGGGTCTTATAGGCTTGTAGTTAAACAAGCGGTCATCTAGCAGGGACGCAACAAAGCCCACTAGCCTGCGTGATCACAAGGTGTCCAGGGGAAGAGGTATCAGCAGTTCAAAAGCAAACAAAGTGACGTGAAGGGGTGTGGATGTAGTGGAGACCCAAACCCACCTGTAAGATAACGGGACAGTACCTCTCAGAAGGGCCACACGGAATGGATGATAAATCCAGGGTGTGGTATAGCACAGATTCTAATATTTCCTCCCCTTACAATTATGGTTTTTGTTTTACCTCATTAATCATGTTAGATTTGCACATGTTTATGCGTATATTTAAGATCGCCTGGTACATGATGGTCAAGATAGATGACCCCTTAGAGACAGGAGCAATGGTCCCGAGGTACCAGAAGAGGGGTGGTGTGTGTGTGTGTGTGTGTGTGTGTGTAGGGAGGGGTAGGATTAGGGAGTTGATGACTGTATGATCCCACTCAATGGGATCAGAGAACAGAGTAGTGTGTGAATGGATACACTGGCTTGTGTAAGATATGGCAAAACCAAATGACCAACTATATTATAGGCGAAATCATAATGGTAAGGGTTCCTGAGGGGATAGGGTGGGGATAAGGGGGAGCTGATATCAAGGAGTTCAAGATGGAAGAAAATATTTTGAAACTGACTGAGGTAGCAATTGTGCAATACTGCTTGATGTGATTGAACTATGAATGTTGTAATATCTGCAAGAGCTCCCAATAAGATGATTTTAAAAATTACTAATACGGCACACAGCATAGACGGTCTAAGTGGTGGTCACCTTCTCGTACGGTGAGACAGAGCTAGGCCTCTGTTCTAGAAGTGAAACAGGAGTTCAGAACAATGAGCAAATTCAGACTCACCAGCTTCTGCTCCTTCTCCCGGGCCCGTCAGTAGCATGAGAAGGAAGCCTAAGGAAGGAAAGAAGGAGAGGCTGAGAAAGAAGACCCAGAATGCTGGTCAATAGCTGTAATTGCGGGAGGAAAACCGGAGCCACTTTTCTCAGCTGTGGCCTCTGAAGGGTTCTCACCTGAATCTGGAGCTTAGGTCCACTCTTCACCTCTGCAGAACATCAACAACTCTCACCTTTTGCGAGCTTCTTCACGGGGTCTGTAGCTCCCCTGTTCCTGCAAGCGAAGGTCTTCCAGGCCTCCTCTTGCTGAGGATAAGGATATTGCTGATAACACGTAATGCAGTCCGTGCAGTGGCTGCCTGGAAATCCTGCCACAGAGCCAGCTGGAAGTTATTTCATCTCTGGGTGGATCTCTGGCCTCACTTTGGAAAGCTTGTTTTCAGGCACCCAGGACCTGTGGGATGGAGAAGCAATTAGATGCTGCTCGATCCTTTATTGTGGGCTAAACTCGGGCATCTTCCCAGGGATCCTGTCCTCTCCCATCGTCCTCAGCCAACAGAGGTGTCAGTCTACTTGGGTCTCTGGATTTTCTACCTTGATTCATTTCTGGTCTAGAAGCCAAGTCTGCGCCCTGAAAAACCTAACTGCTCCTCCTCACCCGAGCAGCTCAGACTGAAGTGGGGAGGGCACAGACAGAGCAGCTGAACTGTCGGTGGGCCTGACACAGTGCAACTACTGTTAACTTTCACAAGCAGTGTCTGGTAGGGACTGCCACAAATCACTTCTGTCACCCTGGACCAGCAAAGCCCTACAGTGGTGGCTGAGGAGCAAAAGGACCCCTCTGCCACGCCCTACTCCATGTGACTCGAGACGGGCATGTGCTGCACCGAGTGCTCGCTGGACAGCACCCTAGTGTGTGGCATCCCCTGCTTGCAGACACCAGAAGAACCACAGCCCTGTGTAAGCAGCCAGTCCCCTGCACGCAAACCATGGACAAGTAGAACTGCTTCCAAGACCAGGTGGGATGCCCCTGCCTGTTCTTTGAACACACACAAAAACTTTCTCTTGATCAAGAGATGATGTCTCTCACATGTCTTCGAGGCCAGCTAAGGGCAGTGACCCAGACTGTGCCTGGCCGGGCACACTGTTCGCCTTTGGACATTCTGTCCCACTCTGGCCCTGCCAGCCCCTTCTCTCTAGTGCTTTCTCTTTCTTTTCCCTAGGTTTTCCTAGATAATCTTTCTTCTTTTTCACCATCTCAGGTCGAGATGGGGGAGGGGGTTAGCATGCTATGTCTCAGAGGAAACATTTCCCCTTCCCTTGGTGGGTAAAGGGGAGAAGGGACCTCCCACCAGGAAAGTGCTTAACAATACTTATGTAGGCCCCAAGGGGAGAATAGCCCACTATTACATTAATAATCAGACACTTTGGACCTGGGTTTCTACCAGCCTGTGGTGACCCAGGCCTGCGCTAAAAGCTACTATCACTTTAGGCTCCGTCCTTTCAAGGACACATCCTTTCACAGGCCACAGCAGGGTTCAGTGTGGAAACCCCACTAATGGAAATGGGCTTTACCTCAAACTGGCCGGCAGCCCTTGGACTCAGTCCCTGGTGTAAGAAACGGATGACTGTGACTCCAGGCGCACATGCATTTACTATTTTAATACCCTCCTTGTGTACCGTGACAGCAACTCATCTGATAGGCGTGTTTCCCTTAGAACGTTTGCCCTATCCGAGCAACAGAACAGCAAGGGGAACAGAGCAACGAAGTCCCCAGGGAATACCAAAAATAGACCGTGGGGCCAGGGTGTGGCACCCCATCAGACTGAACTGGAAAACACTCCTAAAGGTCAACAAACAGACCCTAAACTATTTATAGGCTTTTCTTTTTGGCGTTTTGTTTTCTTTTGCTCGGTCTTGTTTTTGTGCTTATTATTGTCTCTGAGTGTCTATCTAGATAAGACAGGTGGGATAAATAATCCAGAGGAGAAAACAATAAGACCTTTGGTCCCGGGAGGGGGGGGCGGGGGAAGGAAGTGGGTGTTAACCAACCCAGGGACAAGGGAACAACAGCGATCTAAAAATAAAACAGATGGAGAGGAGGGTGTAGGAGGCCTGGTAGGGCTTGATCAAGGGCAATGTAACTGAGAGGAATCACTGAAACCCAAAGGAAGGCCAAACATAATAATGGGACAAGAGGAAAGAACTAGGAGGCAAAGAGAATTTATAGAGGCCTAAATACAGGAATGCACTTATATATACAACTCTCCTTTAGTTCTTTAATGCTTCCTCCCTCCCTCCCTCCCTCCCCACTATTGTGACCCGAATTCTACCTTTCAAATCCAGCTAGACCAGAGCAATACCAGGAGGGGAAGGGGAAGGTGGCAGAAGAAAGGGGGAACCGATCACAATGATCTACATATAACCCCATCCCAGGAGGATGGACAACAGAAAAGTGGGTGAAGGGAAACATCAGTCAATGTAAGACATGAAAAATTAATAATAATTTATAAATTATCAAGGGTGCATGAGGAAGGATGGTGTGGGAGGGAGGGGAAAAACGAGAAGCTGATACCAAGGGCTCAAGTAGAAAGAAAATGTTTTGAAAATGACGATGACAACAAACGTACAAATGTGCTTGACACAATGGATGGACGGATGGATTGTGGTAACAGTTGTACGAGTCCCCAACAAAATGATTTAAAAAAATAATTTAAAAAGGGGGAAAGTCTGTCCTATCACCAACTGCTATGTAATGCCCCATCATCTAAGCGTTTTACCTGTACAAATTAACAGTTCATGGACTGGGTTTCACCTTATACTCGGATACCTTACTTTCCTCGATAGTATGTTAAATTCTATTCCATTGGATAAATTAGCTATACTATTAACTGATGACTTTATGCCCAGGGGATGATTGACAATTTTGTCATAAAATGGTAACGAGGTCTCTAAAGTGAACCAGGGCTGTTTATAAGTCATACATGTGAATGGGTTTGGGGCTCGCACGTCATTCTAGTGCCTATGTAAGAACAATTAGTTCTTGTTTTGTTTTGTTTTCCCTCTTTTTTTAAATCATTTTATTAGGGGCTCATACAACTCTTATCACAATCCATACACACATCAATTGTGTAAAGCACATTTGTACATTCATTGCCCTCATCATTCTCAAAACATTTCCTCTTCACTTAAACCCCGGCATTAGGTCCTCAATTTATGACAAGACCCTGGTTCGTGCTCACCTCAGGAAGAGATGACTGAAAGTATGGATGCCATAGCCAAGTGTCGTGAAGACACCAGATGATGTCCGTCTATCAAAAATAATAATAATAATAATAATAATAGCATCTGGGGTCTTAAAGGTTGGTCTTCAAACAAGCAGTCATCTAAGTGAGGTGTCAACTCCGTCTACATGGAAGAAACACATCTGCTTGTGTGATGCAAGGATTCAAATAATAAAATCCACATCTGAAGAAGGGAACGCTATAAGAGCTTAAACTGATACTCAATATGCAGAAGTTACGGATGACAGTGGGAGCCAGGGAGCGGGGTCCCTGGAAGTCTCTGGCGAGTCCCCTCCAACCAAAGTAGAGGCATGTGCGAGGCCTTGCTATCATGCGGAGAAGTGTAAATTGGATTATGGCAGAACTAAAGAGGTTAAAATCTAACACCTGATCATTTGATTTCTCTTTTTAAATTTGTTCTAGTTGGTAATATTTCCTGCTTTCTTCTCAATTGACATTTTTTCCTTCTTTGGGTTTATTATTTTTGTTTGCTTTTTCTTTTTCTCTGCGTCTCTTCCTGTCTGTTTTGATACAGTTGTTGGTCTTTTCCTGCCAGCTTCTTTTGCTGCTGTCATTTGTATGCTTTCTAACAGATGAAAGTCAGGAATGGTAAATCTGTAAGAGCAGAAACTGAAATAATGCTTACTGGGGGTATAGGAGGAGAGGCTGGAGGGAAATGGGGAATTAATAATGAACTCAAGAAGGAAAAATGGTTTAGAACTGATTTATACAACTCTTTCTTTAATACGACTGAACTATAAAAGTGAATGACAGGGGGGTTCTGTCTCAATAAAACTATTCACATTTTTAAAACAGTTCTTACCCTGAACTGAAGCCCCTACATGTGAACTCCAGCTTTGGGCTGCAGCACTGACAGCCAGGAGTGAATGTTCCCCGCGGGGTGTGACAATTCTCAGTGTGTATTCCACACACAGGGGTAAGACGTGACTGATGAAACAAGATTGGCTATGGATTAGTAAATGCTGAGTCAGAAGGGGGTTCCATGGAATTGACATTAGAGCATTTGGTTTGTGAGGGATTGTGGTCTGCACTTGGAACCCTGACTCCGTGCAGTGCCTTCACATAAACTGAGGCTACATTTAGGTCCCCAAAGTACTTCTGAGTGCTTTGGGTCATTAAAACACAGTCTGGCCAATTTGGAGAAAGCACAAGAGTCTGCCTGCATAAGAAAGACTATGGTTGAAGGCAGACTGCAAGTCCAACAAGCCAGTCTGAGAGGTGTTTTTCCCACGGAAGGAGCAGCTTTTCACACAAAGAATTACAGAATTCATTATAAACGTCTGGCAACCTACTCCTTAAATAATTAGCCAGAGAAAGGCCTATGGAGCATAGTTCTTCTCTGCGAGGCACGGGATCTCCTCATGCACTGTCGTCACCCCTACAGAAATGGTTTAGTTTGACCTAGACTAGAGACCACAGGTGCTGGGGGGGAGGGGGGGGGCTGGGGGAGGAGGGCTAGGGAACTACTTGGGGTTGGTAATTGGCTGTTGGAGCGAGTGCACCCAGTCAGTCTCTCACTATACCCTGGCCCCACCCCTGGGATACTTGTCCATCCTGTGAGGGATCCTTTGAAGCACTGCATGGGCCCTGCCCCAACACTACTAAAATCTCCACCCCCAAGACCCACTGCCCATGAGCTGATTCTCTGAATAGGTAGGAAGATTAGGGACAAAGGGAGCTGTCTCCTGGGAATGCCTCCCCACTAGCTGGCCATGCCACAAGAGCGGGCTTGAAGGGAATCAGGCCCCAGTGGAGAGCTCTGGGGAAGGTCCAAAGCTGCGCTTGCACACACCAAGGTCACCTACCCATGCACGAGGGTGAAGGCCTTGTTTTAAACAGTCCATAGAGTCCAGGTGTCACTTAAGAGAATCCAACTCCTTTCAGAATGTTGGAATTTAGGGTGAAAATAAAAACATTTAACCCCTTCGTGACAAAAGGAGCCCTGGCAGTGACTAGTTGGGCTGCGAACCAGGCCAGCAGTTCCGAACGACCAGCTGCTCGGAGGTAGAAAAACAGGGCTTTCCACTCCTGGAAGGAGCTCCACACACGGGCATTTCTACCCTGTCCCAGAAGGTGACCAGGAGCCAGCATCCTCCGGACAGCAGGGAGTCTTATGTGACAAGGGCACCTATCAGAATAGAAAGGAGCTGTAAACAAGCAACTCCCACTCACAGCAACCCTCTGGGCAGAGGAAGACTACCTGACAAGGTTTCAAGGACTGGCATCTTAACGGAAGCCACGGCCTCAGCTTTGGTGAGTTCCTGACCGCCACGGCGCCCCAGAGGTCTTGTGGTCTGAGAGACACACCTGTAACTCACAGCCATAGAGGAAGAGTCTCCACACCATTCTAACAGGTAACTGTCCTCACAGTGCACCGAATTACCCTCTCTCTAGGCACTGGCCACCTGCTTCAGGCAGGAAACTGTGGGCCAAAACCTGTATCATTTGCGTAGAGGGCAGCTGAGATCTTCCTCATCGAAACTGAAACTGCAAGAGGAAACTGGACAGATTTTCCAAACGGTTGCCCTTGTTTTAATTTTCCCCTGTGCTTGTCGGAGACTGGAAGTCTTTCTGTGAGGAGAAAGACCCATCCTGCCCTTGGGAAGTGGCCGGTGGTTTTCGCTTGCTGATCCTGTGGTTAGCAGGCCCAAGTAGAACTCACCAGTCACCAGGGATGGAGCGGGTACGAGTTTCGGTTTTTGGTTTCAAAGGGGAGTTGGCCAGCCCTCCTAACCTGTCTGCACAGCAACAAAATGAGGTTAAGAGTATCCCCGTTTGTTTCCCGAATAGAACATGCTTGAGTTGTGTGCCTTTGTTCAGTTTTTGTTTCGATTCAATCGCAAGGAAAACTGGACCCAAGTCACAAGAAGGGGTCAGCCGGCCCTCCTAACCGTTCTCAAAATCTCTTCCACCTCTCAAATCTCAGAACTCCATGGAGACCTGGCAGGTTCTCCCGCACCCCCAAGGGGCGTTACAGCAACAGACTGACCTCCCCCCCCCCCCCACGCCAGCATACAACGAGGCGCTCCGACCCCGTCCCAACTCAACCACTATCCGGGCCGTCTGCAGCCCGTCTCCAATACCCACGCACCGTACTCAGCGGCCCAACGCCAGAGTCCACCACGACCACGAAACGCAGCACCCGTTAAGCGCTCCCACCACAAAACCGCCAGGCTTGGGCCCCTCGCCGCGCCCCCACCCCCAGGGGATGAGTCTGCGCCCATCCCCCAAACCCAAACATCCGGAAACGCACGGCCCGAGTAGCCCGCTCCCGGTCGTGCGGCACCCCACCGCCTCAAACGAGGAATTCGAATAAAAGAAAAGCACTTCGAAGCTCGGGGTCACTCCCGGCCCAGCCACAGCCCGGGACCGAAGGGCCACGGAGCGCCCCGCAACTCCAGGACCTAGGCCGCCCCCGACCCCGGGCTCTCCCCGCCCCGAACGCGCGTCTCCCGCAGAGCGCCCTTCCCCACAAACGCCACCCCGGGACTGCGTCCGCGGCGCCCGGCCTCGCCCTCAGAGTCCTGCTCACCGCCGCAGCGAGTCCTCCCAGAACTCCGCCGTCCGCCTCCCGCTCCCAAAGCCTCACCGGCCGGAAGTTCCCAGCGCGCTTTCTGGTAGCGTCCGGGCCCCGCCCCCGGGCGCGTGATGACGTCGGAGGCGCGCCGTGCGTCCGGCCTGGCGCTGGGCGCCCCCTACGGGTCGGCTGGGAAGTGTTGTTTACACCAAACTTCCCACTGAAGTGAAACCCTGGTGGCTGCATCCGGGTTCTGGAACCCACAGTCCTTATGGGGAAGCAGCAAGGGGCTGCCCTTGACTAAAGGGAAACAGGTGGGAGAACAAGGCCGCCTCTGGCCGTCTCCTCGAGTTTTACCCTCACCTCCAGTGCTTTCCTGTGATAACCCCCCCCCAAGTCCTCAACAAGCTATCCTCCTATCCTCGTGCTCACAGGAAATAGGGGACTGACCCCAGGGAGACAATTGAACTTATTTTTTGTTTATGTGCCTGTTTTGTTTTCCTGACTTGAGCTTGTTTGTTTGCTGGTTGGTTTCTTGCTGGTACTGGGGTAGTTGGCCCTATGGGGGGTTGATTTTGTCATAAGCAGACCACCAAAGTGTACCTCAGTCGTGCCCATTCTGTGGATAAGCAGATGGATTCCGGGCTCCTACTTCACCCTACCCCAATCCAAGAACAGTTCGTTCTGGTGTCGTGGCCCCGCTCCATACTGGCCTTCCTGAAATGATTACTGAAGATACGGGTGCTGCAGCAAAGTGTGGGGGACGAGAAAAGATGGTGCCAGCTATCAATGGGAATAGTGCCTGGCTTACTGACTCCCCTCCAAGAACTCAACTCTTCTTCAGTCACATCTCTTGTGCTCCCGTCCGACCTGAGGGGCCCATCCTCCAGCAGACTCCGACAATGTTGTGCTGCTTCTGTTCAGGCTTTGAGTGTTGGAAAATGCTCCCAAGCTATGCATAAGGTTGTCATTGGTTTCTTCCTCTGCTGAAACCGGTTCACTTTGTGTGACCCTGCTGGCATTTGAAATACCAGGGACATAGCTTCCAGCATCACAGAAGCCACCACGGTACCACAACAGAGACATGGTAGGGATCATCTACAGGTCAAGATCCAAATTTCCCAGCACATTGCGTTGAAGAGACTATGTCTCTGATGTAATGTCATTTGACCCTTTGTTGAAGATCCGTTGTCTGTAGCTGGATGGATTTACTCTGGGTCTTCTATTCTGTTCAATTGAGATATATATTTACCCTTGTCCCAGTACAAGCTTCCTGGTGGGTCTGTAGATATAGTCAACCACTGTGCAGAGGGATGTGGCACCACCTCAAACAACTGGGAATAGAAAGTCCATGCAATCCAGTAATCCCTCTGCTGGATGTATATCATAAACACCCACAAGTCATAACACCAACAGACATGTACACAAAGCACTATTCACAATAGTGAGAAGATGGAAGCAAGCTGAAGGCCCATCAGTAGGATAATGGATAGAGAAACTTTGGTGCACACACATAATGGAATACTCTGCATCCCTAAAAATCATGGCACATCTCATGGCATGGATGGGCCTGGAGAGCACCATGCTGAGTGGAGTTAGCCAATCACAAAAGAACAAAGATGAGACCTCTATTAGAAAGGCTTCCATACCAAAGGGAACAGATTCTGGAGTTAGCCAGAGTGGGGAAAGAAGGGGAGGGGAGATAAAACCACAGACTAGACCAGTGGTTCACAACCTTCCTCATACCCCAACCCTTTAGTAGAGTTCCTCATGTTGTGGTGACCACCCCCTGACCATGAAATTATTTTTGTTGCTACTTCATCACTGTAATTTTGCTACTGTTATGAATTGGGCGACCCCTGTGAAAGGGTTGTTCGACCCCCAAAGGGTTGCAACCCCCAGGTTGAGAACCGCTGGCCTAGACAGTTGACAGGTGTTGACTTGGGTGAAGTGGAATATGGTGATCCACAAATGGAGAAGGAGGGATCAAGGATAGGGTGGGTGGGGGGTGGTAAACTATTGGGGGGTTGATTAGTAGTTGAAACTGTTGAATACAAAGTTGGTTATCTGAAAGGTAAACACCCACCTAATTCATGATAAAAATGGTTATTAAAAATTCATAGAGAAATCTCATTATCTTTTCATTCAATTTTTCTACAGACTTTTTGAAGCCTCCTTGTATATCCTAGGAACTTTATTTATTGAGAAACTATTATGCAAACACGGGCTACATGTTAAACTGGACCCAAGAAATCTCCCACATTTTGTTCCTGTTCAGTTTGGATTTAACCAGGTCAAGAGCCTCTCTAGGATCAGAACCTTGAGCAGTGCTTACATGGGACCAGGTGTGGGAACATGAATTAGATAGCTTTCATTGTTCAGAGTGGATCTTTGAGGTTAATTGGTTTGTTGATCCAACAATAAATATTTTATAGTCTAGTCATTTGCACATAATTAGTCTCCAGGTTTCTCTTTACAAAGAAAAATAAACTTCAGAAGGCATATTTTGGAATGGAAGTATTCTAAAACTGGATGATTGCAATAAACACTTTTGCATATTTTTTTCTGAATCCTATGAATTGAAACATAAGGTCCACTGTGATATTTAAGCATTGTGCTGATATTAAAAATGCTTCTGTGGATCAATTTTTATGTGGACTAGGGAATATAAGCACATAAGAAATGCTTCTGGTGCTCACTTTGGCAGCACATATACTAAAGAAATGCTTCTAAAGAACAATTAAATTTTTAATCTATATTTTCATGACTATTAAATCTTACAGAAAACAATATAATGCTAGAATTTCTAAGGTGCAAATGAAATGATTATGTCTATGACAAACATTTAATTCTATTTAGTAGATATGTTTTCACCATATTTCATTATAATTACATACACAGATAAGAAAACATCTATCTTGGCTCTTATAGTTTGTGCAAATTCCATATAATTATTCTCCACAGAGAACAATCCAATTAAAACAAAATTGTAAAGCTTGATTTGAATTATGATTTTCCTTATGGTGAATCATATAAAATGATCCTTATTATCAAGCTCTGGCTTGAAAAAATTTTACAGTAAAATTTATACTTGATGTCTATCAATCAGCTGATATGCAGAAAATGTAATCCTTTGCATTCTCAGGAAAAGCAGGTGACTTCACGAACTCACCTTACAATGTCCCTTTGTCCGTTGACATGCATGGATGTCACAACCAAGAACAGCAGTCCTATATCGCTGCGTGTAATACACCCATGTGAAGAACACACACACATCACATGCATAGTGTGCGCTCTAAAGAGCCGATGCCCACTGAGGGCAGTCCTAGAGGACAGGGTAGGACTGCCCACGAGGACCTGAGACTGTCACTCTTGTTCTTTTGTTTTTTTCAATACTTTCACTGGGGCTCTTACATCTCATCACAATCCATACATTCATCCATTGTGCCAAGCACATTGGCACATATGTTGCCAATATCAGTTTCAAAGCATTCTCTTCCCACTAGAGCCCCTGATTTCAGCTCCGCATTTCTTCCGCTCCCTCCCCCGCCTGCCTTCCCTCATGAACCCTTGATAAGTTATAGATTATTATTTTCATATCTTACATCTTCCTCTGTCGCCCCTCACCCACTTTTCTGTTTGTCCCCCTGGGAGGGGGTTATAGGTAGATCCTTGTGATCGATTCCCACTTTCTCCCCACACCCTCCCCTAATCTTCCTGGTATATCTACTCTCCTTGTTAGCCCTGAGGGGTTTATATATCCTGGATTCCCTGTGTCAGTGCTCTTATCTGTATCAGTGTGCATATTCTGGTCTAATCCAATTTGTAAGGTAGAATTGAGGTCATGATAGTGGGGGGCAGGATGCACCAAAGAACTAGAGGAAAGTTGTGTGTTTCATTGGTGCTATACTGCACCATGACTGGCTCATCTCTTTCTTATGACCCCTCTGTGAAGAGATGTCTAATTGTCTACAGATGGGCATTGGGTGTCCACTCCATGCTCCACCCCCTATTCACCTTGGGTATGATTTTGTTCTGGGTCTTAGATGCCTGACACCTGATCCCATCAACACCTCATGATCACACAGGCTGGTGTGATTCTTCCATGTGGGCTTTGTTGCTTCTCAGCTAGATAGCTACTTGTTTATCTTCAAGCCTTTAAGACCTCAGATGCTATATCTTTTGATAGCCAGGCACTATCAGCTCTCTTCACATTTGCTTATGTGCCCATTTTGTCTTTAGCGATGGTGTCAGGAAGGTGAGCATCGCAGAATGCCGGATTGTTAGAACAAAGTGTTCTTGTGTTGAGGGAGTACTGGAGTTGAGGCCCAATGTCCATCTGCAACCTTAATTCTTAACATATATATGAGTACATAGTTATATCCCCCCCTCATTATATATATTTACACATGTACATGCCTGTATTTAAACCTCTATAAATGCCCTTTGCTTCCTGGTTCTTTCCTCTATTTCCTTTTACTTTCCTCTTGTCCCACTGTCATTCGGATTTAGTAATTCCTCACTGCTACATTGCCCTGATTAAGCCCCACTAGGCATCCTATGCCTTTCTCTCTATTGATTTTAGTTCACTTGTTGTTCCCTTGTCCCTGGGTTGGTTCCCCCTTGTCCTCTTCCTTTCTCCCACCTACCCTTCTCCAATATCCTCCCTGGAACCATTGATCCCGTTCTTTTCATCTCTGAGCTATTTATCTTGCCTATCTTATCTAGATAGACATGCAGATACATTAATAAGAGCAAAACCCAGGCAAATCCAAATAAAACAACAAAGGAAGTCAAGACCAACAAAATAATAAAACAAACAACAAAAAGAAAGCCATGACAAAAATGGAAAAGTCTATAAAAAGTTCAGGGTCTGTTTGTTGGCCTTTACGAGTGTTTTCCAGTCAAGTCTGATGGGGTGGCACACTCTGTCTCCAAAGTCTATTTTTGGTATTCCCCAGGGATTTCATCACTTTGCTCTCCTTGCTGCTCTGTTGCATGCCCTTGTGTTTCGCCCCAGCGTGATGGTGCCAGATTGTGCATAACTCCCACACTGTGTCTCCTGTGCTGTCC